CAAGTTGGTAGGAGGAGGAGGCACGACGGGGCGCAGAAGAGAGTTAAAAGCATAAAAACGGTTGTTTGGGCTCGTGGGAGAGTGTGGTTATGGTGTATTGAAGTAGTTTGCTTTTGAAAAGGAAAGAACCAGACTGTAGGAGCGCAGCATAATTTTATAGTACAGGAAGTCAGACGCAGAGTGAGACTTTCTCCAGCAGCAGTCAGCAGCTCTGGAACATTTTTGGAGGTATCGGGTCAGCTTGGTGTGCCAGGGTTGTAATTGGGGGCACTTCATACGTTTAAGTGTAGGAGATGCCATGATGTCTAGTTGAGAGGAGAGAGTGGAGTTGTAGAGGGAGGTTGCAGTGTTAGGGCAGTTGAGATTTTAGATAGGTGAAAGGTGACTTTGGAGGTTGGTGGAGAATTGCTGTAGGTCAAGACAATGTAGGTTTGTGCAAGACTGTGGTGAGGGTGGTGTACTTTGGTTACGGGGTATGCGGATGTCAATGGATGGTGGTCAAATAGAGGAAATGGAACATTGGAGAGATTAGAGGTGGTACAGAGATTTGTGAAGATGAGGTCAAGAGTGTTTCCTGCTCTATGAGTTGATGAATTAGACCACTGTGTGAGTCCAACGGAGGAGGTTATAGAGAGCAGACAAGAGGCATCAGGGCAGTTAGGATTTTTGGTTGGGATATTAAAGTCCAAGAATGAGGGAAGGAGTGCTAGAGGAGAGGAAATGGGGTAGCCATGAAGAAAAGTGTTCAATGAATAGCCTAGGATGACCGGGTGGGGGTGGGGGGGAGGTGATAAATGATGGCAATTCTTAGAGAAGTGGGTTTAAATAGAGGGACAGTGTGAACTACAAAGGAAGTAAAGGATAGGGCAGGGAGGATAGGTTGAAAGGTACATGGAGTGAAGAGAAGGATGCCTACACCACCTCCTTTACAGTTGTTTGGTCTAGAAGTGTGGGAGAATTTTAGCCCACCACAACATTTGAGATGAAGAGGTTGTGTATGGCTGATTAAATTGCTGCAGATGGAGCGGGCGTTCCAGAGTGCACACTGAATATTGGTAGATTGGGATATACGGCATGGTATTGAGGTGAGGTTTGTGTGGCTTCCAAATTGACTTAGTGTGAGTAGAGAAGATGACGGGTCCTGGGTTGGGAGAGACATGCCCAGCTGCTAGAAGCAGGAGGAGAGATAGAGACAGAAGATGCGAGCGGGTTTTATATGGATGGAATCTGTGGATGAGATTGAGTGGGAGAAGGATGGAGAGGATAGAGAAAAGTGTGCATGTCATGAGATGAAAGAAGGGGGGGGGTGTGATGGAATGTCGTCACTGAGTATCATACCCACATGTGCCCACTCTTGCCTGATTTTTGTTTTTAGATCATCATGCTGGGGATCTCCCTATCTGTGTGGTCCCATTGTTCCACAAAGCATGTTTAGGCTTGATTAGTAGATTGTTCTTGTCCCATTCTAAATATAATAAAAGTGAGGCTTAATTATTATTTTGTGGGAAAGTATTAATGTTTCTTTTGGATATGATGCTGGAACTCAAGGGTTTTCTGGAAGGCTAATGATCATTAACATATCAAAGAAATTAATTAACCAATTAAGTGGTACAGGCCATATGGCTGAAGTCAGTTCATTTACATTTGAACTAGACATTCAGGCATCTCAAGTGTAGAATATCACACCTTGCAGGGCCTTTGATTGGTCAAAGGATCAACCCTTGTTGTGAACCATCTGTCCCCTTTCACATTCCTATACAATTTACATTACCCCTTCTGTCATCTGACCTCTACCAAGTGGCATATTCATATGTGCATTGTACAAATTACATTAAATGGAAATATTTGTTGTGCAACAATGAATTATGCACCCTTGGCATGACACCTCCCCCAGATTCCAGCTATTCAGTGATGTAACTTTCGTGAGATTCTTAAATATTAAAATGTGTTTGTGGGGTGTTCTAAAATGTTATTTTTTTTTGTACCTGGGAGATAATTGAGTTTGTACAGTTTCCTACTCAATTATCTCCCAGGCACAGGGGAGGAGTTTGTGTTTAAGTGTATGGAGACCCCTGATGGGGGTCTGTGTATAACTTGGCTGTACCATTAAAAATGAATTCGAGTTGTACTCCCAGAACTGTGTGTCGAGAAAATAGATGCCTGCTTATTTTTTTTATTCTTTATTTTAGGCGTGCAATGTTAAGTATAAGCTTTCGTAATTAATTTTTTGAAGAAAACAAGCTTATTCACAGTAAGCCAATATATGAGCAGTGAAGCAATAAGTACATGCAAATTGACAATAGATTAAACTAGACATAAATAAAAGTAAACATGCTGAGCCTATGAGCAACTTAATCTAGCTTTTGTGAAAATTCCACTGGGTATGAATTCAAACAAGGATAAAACAAGGAAACAACATAGGTAGTAGGCTTCATCCCTGTCCACATCAACCCCTTAAAGGACTACTATAGGCACCCAGACCACTTCAGCTTAATGAAGTGGTCTGGGTGCCTGGTCCACCTAGGATTAACCCTTTCTGCTGTAAACATAGCAGTTTCAGAGAAACTGCTATGTTTACTTTAGGGTTAATCCAGCCTCTAGAGGCGCTTCTCACAGTGATTTTCACAGTGAGAAGACGCCAGCATCCATAGGAAAGCAATGAGAATGCTTTCCTATGAGACTGGCTGAATGCGCGCGTGCAGAGGGAGCCCGGCGCTGGAAAAAAGGTAAGAATTTAACCCCTTCCTCCCCTTCAGCCCGACGGGAGGGGGGCCCAGAGGGTGAGGGGGACCCAAGGACCCTATAGAGCCAGGAAAACAAGTATGTTTTCCTGGCACTATAGTGGTCCTTTAAGGACTGAGCCTAATGTACACGTTGTGATCAAAACAAAACGTAAAAAAAAACTTGCATTTGTGCTATATGTCTGTTCAGATGTAATTCCCTCTTTTATATTTTGTGCACCCACACTTATTATATATAATTTTATTCAGGGAACACAGGGCTTTCATTTAACATCAAATATTTAGGTATGAAATATAATTTAATATGAATAAAATGTAAAAAAAATTGGAGAAAATAAGAATTAAAAAAAAAATCTACTTCTACGTGACATTTTAACTGTGAATGTCATAATACTGTTTGCTTTTACTGCAATAAAATATACATATTTGTATTCAGCGATGTCTCCCGTGTAAAACAGTACCCAGTTTGTACAGGTTTTATGGTGTTTTGGGAAGTTACTTGCGATCACATGGACCAGGGGGGCCAGAAAGGAAGGAGGGGGACTCCCAGGTGAGTCCCCACACAGCATTCGCTGGGTAAGTACAGTATATAGGACAGCTTGGGCGTTCTATAGTGCCCGCCAGCGTTCAGAGCCGGGTCCCCAAACATAGCATAGAACGCCCCCTCCCCGCCACCCCGTCCTTAAGGGGTTAAACAAAAATGTGTGTGTGTGTGTTTGTGTGTGTGTGTATATATATATATATATATATATATATATATATAATATGTGTTTGTATATGTATGTATAACGTTATATATAAGATAGATGTGTGAACATATATATATATATATATATATACATACACACGTATATATAACGTTATATTAATATAAAAACACACAGTAAAATTACACACGTGTGTGTGTGTGTGTGTGTGTATATATATATAATTTTATATATTATGTATATATATTATGATAAATAATAATAAAAAATAAATTGTAAAAATAATTTTTTTAACATTATGTATATAAATGTCATTTTATTCTCACTGTATCTTTGTCGATCACTGTAGGGGAGGACTGTCAGAGACCCCAGCAGTCGCCCTACAGCAGCTCCGGCCACCCTGGCCCTCCATGGCCATGTGATCACCATGACAACATCACCGCAATAGGACTCTAAGAGCTGCCAGCACGGGGACTGTCTGAGCTGACAGGCTGCTAAACAAATAATAAAATAAATATATTATACATATACCTTTAAAAAATATATGGTTTGATGGGGGTAAATTATATTGTCCGGCTTCAAAAATGTCCCAAATGGGACATGGGTGCATGATGACTGTGAAAATTCCAAGTTGGAAAACTGGAATGCGCACCCTCCAAATAAGGTCTTTTAGCCCCAAGAGAACCCAACACACCTATACATAGGTGGTATCGCTGTACTCAGGAGATGTTGCTGAACACATATTGGCGTGTTCTTTGGCAGTAACCCTTCAAGTTCTCATTACATATATTCTTAAATTGCTATGTGTGTAAAAAGAAATCACCAATTGTTTATTTTATTTTTTTATTTGGCATAGATTGGTGGTAAAATGGCTGCATGAAAAGATTCAAAATACCCCAGGTTTAATACCTTAGGTTGTCGTCTTTTAAAAAATATATACAGGGTTATTCAGGGATTCCTGACAGATATCAGTGTTACAATGTGTTTACAATGTAAATTTTGAAAAAAAATTGGTTTGGAAATAGCAAAGTGCCACTTGTGCTTATAGCCCTATAACTTTCCAAAAAAAGCTAAGAACATGCTAACACTGAAATTTCTAAACTCTAGACAAAATTTAGAAACTATATAGCACGGTTTTGTTTTGTCAGTTGTAGATGCGTAACAGATTTTGGGGGTCAAAGTTTTTTTGTGGGTTTTTTTCTTTCCATTTTTTCATCTTATTTTATAAAAAATGTTATAGTAAATTATGATATGATGAAAATAGTATTTTCCGACAGACAATTTAATGGCAAGAAAAACATTATATAATATGTGTGGGTACAGTAAACGAGTAAGAGGAAAATTACAGCTAAACACAAACACCACAGAAATGTAAAAAGAGCCTTGGTCCCAGCGGCATGAATTTTGAAAAACGGTTTGGTCACTAAGGGGTTAAACCACTGAAAACAAGCTTAACATTTCACTGCTTATTGAGTTGAGAGAGGGGAGAGACATGAATCCCTGCATTAAACATAACGCATTTGAGCTGGTGTGTGAGTTAACCGATTCCCCTTCAGCGTCCTGTATGGCATGGAATCTGGAGAAATATATGGATATAGCTCCAGTAATGTTGAGGGCTTGAGTTCTGCATATCCACACCTCTCCAGCCACTTACTGAGTCATGAGCACCAAACACCCAAGTCCCTTTGCGAGACACTACCAAGTCTCCATGCCGTTCGGCATGCAGCTTTCGCACTTGTGGAGTGATGGCCTTCCATGGAAGAGAGGGTCTGGGGGACTGTCCCAGTCCGGACTGCGGAACACGAGGATGGCGGTTCACTGTGGGTCTGAGTCTCCGGTGCGGAAGTGCCTTCCAGGGCGTCTGCCTCCGCTTCTTCACTGGCGATGCAGCACTAGAGCTTCGACCGGCATCCACCAGCTGTGGAGTTGACTGATGCGAGGGAGATTCCATCGGGACCTAAGCAGTTGCACTCAGGCGACAGGTGAGCTTAAGCCAGAAGTCAGCAAGTAGCTTACCTAATCTTTGGGTTGCAGGTCCTGTGGTGCTGAGTTGCACATGGCATCCACCATTTTGGTCGCTGCAGGCTGACCTCGATTTGTGAGAGTGCCAGAGTATCGCCAATATAGCTTAGGTACTGCTGCGTTGTCTCAAGTGTTTTTTCCCTGGTGGGGACTGGGATATACCCCCACCGGTCCAGAGGTGGGGGGGAGACGGGGTGCCAACTTCGGGTTTCCCGGCGCACCTGTAGCTCCCGATAGTTGAGTTTGCCAGTCGTGTAAGCTGCAATCATTATTTCGGGCCACAGGCTATGGAGTGTGGCTCTAAGATTGCTGAAATGAACTCCTCAGTGGTCAGGTTCAGCTGGCTAGTCGCTTGGGTGTGTTTTTAGGGGGCTTCCACACTATATAATTGAGGTTTTCACAAGATGTATGAGGAGTTCACACTAAACACGTCTGTCTGCCATGATGGTCAGGCCCTGCCCCCAATGTCCCCGATGGGAAAGCATTGGATTGGCAAAAAAATCTGCAATTTTTAGGTCACCAAGGGGATGGGGCCAGCATCGGCAGACCCGTGGAGAGCTGAAAATAAAGTGAGTTTTAACCCATTCCGAGGGAGCTAATGGGGGGGGGGGGTAAGTCACCTAAATGGTGAGTTTTCAGTATAGGGTCAGGAATACATACAGGATGATATGACAGATATTCAAATAAAAACAAACATACATTTGGGTAAATACCAATAAAATAAGAAGGGGGGGAGGGGCAGATATTACAGAGGAAAGTATTTTTAGATATATATAGCTATATATACTACATACATGGGGTGTGTGTCTATATATACACATACACACACATTACATATGGATACACATAAATACACACACCCAGATTGCAGTAGGTGTTACAATGACAGGTAAGTAGGATTAAAGAAACATAAAATAGAATTATACACAGATAGGTAAAATATAATCCATTTAAATGTGCAGCATTAAGTTGTCCAGAAGGCTTCCTTGCTTATTGCAACTGAATCAGCAGAAGGTGGACTGAGTGCCAGTGATGTATTTTGGATCTATGATGCCTAGGCACCCCCACCCCTTCCTGTCAATACCACACCTCTTCCTGTTAAAGACTAACACACACTTTGACTGACAGACACACACACACTCTCAGATACACTGACATACACACATTCACTGATTTGACACAATCTGACAGACACACACAATCACTGACAGACACGCACACACTCACAGACATATACAATGATGCAGACACACTCACTGACAGACACCCACACCCACTCACAGACAAACACACACATTGAAAGGCATACACAATTGCTCAGACACACACACACAAACACATTCACTGACGGACGCACACTGACAGACAAACACAATCACTCAGACACACAGGCTTTCTCACAGACATACACACACACACACTCCCATACAGACACACACTGATAGACATACACACACTCACTCACAGACAAAACAATCACTCAGACACTCACTAACAGACATACACTCACTCAGACACACACTGACAGACACAAACACTCACATTTCCCAACATTCACAGATTATTTTTTTTATTTTAATTTAAATTCCACCAAGCCTCCCTATCTTTGGGAGAGCTGGCTGGATTTTTTTACCTGGCCGGGCTGTTTGGGCAGGGAGGGAGGCAGGCGTTCAGCTAGCTGAGTTCCAGGCGGGTGGAGAGGGAGCGCTAAATTGAGAGCTCTCCCTGCTCAGCTCCCTTGTGCGCTACAGAGTGATGCCAGGAGCCGGAATGTGACGTCATATTCCGGCGCCTGGACTTTAACTGGCCGCCTGCCTGGGAAAGTGCAGCTGAAGGCAAATGCCTCGTTTGCCTCACTGCAAATACAGCACTGCTGAGTGCTGTTCTGATGTGAGGCAGGGAAGCTTAAATTCCGACTGAATTTAAACTATATATAGGAATTATAGTATACACAATATTTCTATCACTGTATGGCAGGATTAGTATACACTATATTTCTATCACTGTATGGCAGGATTAGTATACACTATATTTCTATCACTGTATGGCAGGATTAGTATACACTATATTTCTATCACTGTATGGCAGGATTAGTATACACTATATTTCTATCACTGTATGGCAGGATTAGTATACTATATTTCTATATTTCTATCACTGTATGGCAGGATTAGTATACACTATATTTCTATCACTGTATGGCAGGATTAGTATACACTATATTTCTATCACTGTATGGCAGGATTAGTATACACTATATTTCTATCACTGTATGACAGGATTAGTATACACTATATTTCTATCACTGTATGACAGGATTAGTATACACTATATTTCTATCACTGTATGGCAGGATTAGTATACACTATATTTCTATCACTGTATGGCAGGATTAGTATACACTATATTTCTATCACTGTATGGCAGGATTAGTATACACTATATTTCTATCACTGTATGGCAGGATTAGTATACACTATATTTCTATCACTGTATGACAGGATTAGTATACACTATATTTCTATCACTGTATGGCAGGATTAGTATACACTATATTTCTATCACTGTATGACAGGATTAGTATACACTATATTTCTATCACTGTATGACAGGATTAGTATACACTATATTTCTATCACTGTATGGCAGGATTAGTATACACTATATTTCTATCACTGTATGGCAGGATTAGTATACACTATATTTCTATCACTGTATGGCAGGATTAGTATAAACTATATTTCTATCACTGTATGACAGGATTAGTATACACTATATTTCTATCACTGTATGGCAGGATTAGTATACACTATATTTCTATCACTGTATGGCAGGATTAGTATACACTATATTTCTATATGACAGGGAGCCACAGTGAAGAGGTCCTGCAAAGTAATCTGCACTGTTCGCCTTCAGTATTCTCTCACACTGTGTGACGATGTGTAGTAATGTGAATTAATGAACTGTGTGAGGCCATAACACAAAATAACTGAAAATAAACACAAACAGCATGTAGACGGTATCTATAAGGCGGCCATGTCAGCACGGGAGTGTCAGTCGGGGCGGGCTAGTAATGTGAGTGCCTGGGTGTGTCAGTCAGTCAGGGCGGGGTTGTTGTTGTGTCAGTCAGGGCGGGGTTGTTGTTGTGTCAGTCAGTCAGGGCGGGGTTGTTGTGTCAGTTAGTCGGTGTCGGTTGGTGTTACCTGAGGGAAGCTGTTTGTCCCACGAAACGCGAGGGCGCGGCTGCTGTTCTAAAGCGCGAGACAGCTCGTTTTCCCGCGCTTTCCATGCTGCGGATGCTCACGTGCCGCTTGCTGGCCGCCAGAGACCGCGAGGGGAGGGTGCGGTGGTTAGTAGACGGCACGCGGGCTGTCCTACAGGGAGCGCATACATTTTGCTTGTCACAAGATTACTTTCAGTTACTAGAGGTGTGAAGCGAGGGATAAGAGAATATGGTTTCCTTGTATTGGAGTGAAATTAGATGTACGCAGTGTGTGTGACCATACTGCCTGTCTAAACCATACAGTGATTATACCAACCAAGTGCCCCTATTTAGAAGGGACAGTCCCAATGTTGCACCCAAGTCCCTTTTTTTTCTCTCTTTATGTCTCTCAGTCTAGGAGCTGTATATTGTTTATGGATCTCAGTGAATAACAGAGCTCCACAACAATAATACAATAAATGTGCTTGGAAATTAGTCTCTAAATTCCATACATTGTTCTTGTTCTAAATCATATTATAGTTATATAAATTGTTATTAGTAAGTTATATAAAACGTATTAGTACAGCTACACCGCTACTCAAACGCCCTAAAACTGATGTATCCCTCTGTCCATTTTAAATGTTAGAAGGACCCAAGACATACTTGAAAACGAGAGAAATCTCAATGTATCTTTCCTGGTAAAATATTTTATAAATATATATTATGTGTTATCATAAGCAAAAAGTGGCTCCCATGACCCTTAAAGAGTTACTTTAATCATCACATTATAACCGCTACAACCCACGTAGTGGTTCTGATGTTAAAAGTACCCTGGCACTGTTGCCAGTAATGAACCAAAACATTTCACAACCGTTTGCCCTGTTAACTGGTCATTGACTGACTGCATCTGCTGACCATTCTCAGCCATTGAATTAGATTCGTCGCATCGAAAGCACCCCAATGATGCTGCTGGAGGTGGAGTTACACCTGCGGCAGCAAAGGGGTTAAACTTGGTATGTGCAGCGTTTCAAAGTGAAACACAATGCATGCTTCAGGCACTATTACCACTTCAAATCACTGAAGTGGTCTTGGTGCTTGAAGTAACCCTTTAATGCAATTAAACCCTTGAGACAAATAAATAGATTTATTCACAGGACTTGTGACTGTGAAAAATAGACTAGGAATAGACAGGAAGTTGTAACAGTGGAAAACATAAGCATAGATTTGTTTCCATGGTGATTGTGCCACTTTTAACATTTTGGCAAATTTTTCTGTTTACTACATTCTTAGAAATGTATCTACACCGCCCAACAGTTGTGAATTGAACACGGCTGTCCCAATTTTGAGTCCTCTCTCACCATCGAATTTTGTTTCCCTAGTGTTCCACGTCTAAGGGCACCCGGGAACCGTTCTCTGCAAGCACAATGCAAACACATCTGCTGTGCTGACTGGTGTCAGGGCAACTGGGCAAAGCAAAGAATGCCAGAGTGGGGCTGGCCAAGGAGGGAGCCTATTTCTTTTCCTTCAGCTCCCTATCCCGCTGCTGTGAAAAAGCGGGATAACCCTAATTAGCAACCAAAAACTCAGGGAGGGTGGGCGGGACAAACTCGGCCAGGTAGGACATTTCCGACCATACCAACATCACCCCAGGAAGCAGGTCCCTTAGATTGTTACGGTCCTGCTTCATCCACTTCACCAGCCGCCGTTGCGGTGTTACGCCCAAGTCGTTGCCTCCCGCATGGAGTACCAGCAGGTCTGGTCTAGGAAAGCCCAGCTGGTGGCCCTGAGCTCGAGCTGCAGCCCTCCTTTCAGCCCAGAAGACAAATGAATGGTCCACGATCCATGCAACACGGCTGGGGGAAGAGAAGAAAACAGATCGTAAACCCCCCCCTTTTGCTTTCAGCCTCCCGGGATCCCCCGAAGGCCCCCACCTTACCAATCCAATACTAATCCAATAAACCAATAAACCCAGGCGCACATACTAACGGTACCGCACTGACTCCCAATCCGTATGTCATCCCCCAGAACCAACCGTGTTGCCTTCGTGGCCGCCCCAATGCGAAAGGAGAGTGTACCAAACTTATCTGAAGCCTGAACTTCCCCGGTTCCTTCTTGGGGACCACCCCGAGCGGGGAAACCCTTAGGCCCTCCAACGGTGGCGCCGGGAACGGGCCCGCCATCTTTCCCAACATGACTTCTTTACTCAGTTTTTCCCGCACCACTCCCTGGAACTCAGCTACCGATTTAAGGTTGCGCAGAACCCTCATCCCCCCCGTCCCGGAAAGGGATAAAGAACCCCTGCCCGAACCCCACCCGGAGCACCGCGGCATCCGCCCTATTACCGTAGCTTCTTAGCCACGGCTCCATCGCATCTAGCCTCACCGGGGTTAGGCCCCAGGGCAAGTGAAGCCCCTCCTCCCGCCAACCACGGTGGGGACTCCGGCGTACCCCGACTTTCCTTTCTTGAAGCACCGGTTGAGCCCATGGGTGCCTCTGCACCCTGAGCACTCGTGCTTAAGGCGACAGGTGTTACCCCATTTGTACTGGCCCTCGTTGAAGAGCCAGCATAAGCCCTTTTACAAGGCAGACTGCCCCTTTGTGCCGGCCGTGGGCTGAAAGGGCTGCGCCATCATCAGCTCCATCCAGAGAGGTAGGTCCATTTGATCCCACCTCATACCCGAATTAGCCACCAAACGCTGCCTGAACTGCTCGTCGTACCGACACCATGCCAGTCCGCCATAGGTGCGGTACGCCTCCCAAATTCCGTCCAAATAACAAAACAGGGAGGAGCATAAACCCGGCGATTTTTTTTTGTTTGTTTTTTTTTTTCCCCAGAACGCTGGCCAACACGCAAAACGCCCTTAGCCAGTTACCAAAAGACTTTGGTATTTTATGATACCGCTTCCTTTTCTCCTCCTTCTCATCTTTCTTATCTTCCCCCTTGAGGTCGATAAAGTCCTCCAAAGGGAGAAGAGAAAAGATCTTGCAGAATTCGCCTTTCCAGATCTTATCCTTCACCTCCTGCTTGAGGTGAACCCCCAGTGGACCCGCAAACGACACGTATGCATGTTGCCTGGCCGCATCAGGAACCCCTCCCCAGCCAACTCCGTCTGCTCGCTTGTCGCGTCCGACCCAGTAACCGTCGTCGCCGTGTCCCCGCCCGAACTCTGTCCCGCGGAAGTAACCTCGCTAGAGCACGCTACCCCAGCTTTTTGTGCCAATACCTGACCCACACCACCCCCCGTGTCACCCCCCGCTCCCAGTGAGTGGAGAAGCGTGTGAACTAGCGTACTGGATTGCAAAGATGCACAGGACTCACCGGCCAAGCCCCTCATTCCTAGAGTGCCCGGGGCTGCATTGTTAACTGTCCTGGATGAGCGACATCCGTCAACGACCCTCCGACCGGGGAGCCAACCCGGTGCCCGGCCACTGCGGAGGTGGAGTGGCTCCGAGACCTGTAAGGAGGAGAAGTTCTGGGCAGGGGGTACTGATCCCGTGCTGCCCTCCCGTCCCGACCCCGGGAGCGCCTGCTAGACACCAAAGTCTCCCGCCGTGCGGCCTCTCTCTTCCGTCCACCTAAGGCCCGAGCGGCCCTGCCTCTGGGACTACGACTCCTCCTGTCCTTACCGAAGCCCTCCCCTTTCGCCCATGCTTGGGGGTCATGACCCTGTCCCCTCCTGAACTACCAGATGTGGACCTAGTGCGCCGGGTCCTCCCCTTAACCCCCCCGGGCCTTAACAGGTGACTGGCTACTGCTGCTAGACCCCGACCCGGTGAATAGCCACAGTGAATAGCCAACACTGGCACAAGTCCTTTTTAATTTTTTTTGTGCAGGTGAGTACAAGGTAATATCAAACGCCACAACAACGTACATTTATACATAGACGTAGGCATAGTGGTTAAACAGTGGCATGGAAAATTTGCACATTTTTATTTCATAAGAACATATGTAACTAGTGTGTGATGTCTCAGATTGAGTAACTTGGTTAGTAAGAACAGTGAGACATGCGTATGGTGTACTAGTGAGATAAGGTAGGTAAGATGAGTTAAGTTAAGTGAAACAGGTATGTAACATGTTAGAACTAGTACTAGTAACCTGATAGTAGCTTGCGTAACAATTGTAACGTGTGTAAGAGCTGGACATTCGTGTTTGAGTGCTGGGCAGGTGCTAGGCCTGTTGAGCTTTGAAAATATGAATATACATGTAGTAGCAGACTTGCCAATCGTATTACACAAATGTTTGCTGCAGTGTCAATAGGCAAGACTCTGTGCCAACAGGCCACTATGGAATATTAGGTTTCATGCTCAGTATACAATTTATGTGAAAGACCACTGGAGTCCAGCAAGCAGTCGGAATGGGACATATGTCAGTGTCCTCAGCCCACGCCACAGGGCAGGATAGTACAATGGCGTTGGGGTTTCAGTCCATCGGGCTGTGGGGGGGGGTCCCGTCTGCCCCTTACTTGGTTGAGGATCCACTGTGCTCCTTCGCTATGTCTCATCCTGGTAGAGAAACTATTAGCCTTTCCTGTAGCTAGTTGCTGCCTCCTGGTCGTGGACTTGCGTCGTCTGTGTACCATGCGTCTTCGGGCTGAAGCCTTAAATGGACCAGTGCCTTATTACCATGGATACTGTTGTGAGGATCACGGGCCCAGGGCTGACCCCCTGGGTGTATGGTTGGCGGAGGAGAGGAAGCTGTAGGGCAGGAGTTGTAGATGGCTGCATTTGCTCTGCACGGGTTGCAATCCGGTGCCAGAACGCTGCGCAGATCTTGTCAAATTCTGCGTTGAATTTGGTTTCCCATGGCGTCACAGGATGTTTCCTCAGTGCGTTGGCCATTTTGGTTATGGCCCTGGTGCGGGTCGTGGTACCACAGACTGCTAGAATGTGTTCGGCTGCATTTTCCCATTTTCCTGCATTTTCCCCCCAGTCCAGGGGGGGGTGACGGGCCGGCTGTAGTTTCCCGGTGGCCCCAGATTGGAGGATCGGCTGTTTCCTCCCCCTATGGGAGCCGTCGGGTGTATAGGCCACAGTAGCTGATTCTGGCCTTGGGTCGGCGGGCGACACTCCGAATTCGCTTGGGAGGGTTCCCCAGCGGTATATAGTCTCGTTTGGTGCATGTTTGGGGATTGTACCTCAAGTTTTGTCGTGTACTGCTTAAAAAAAATGAGGAACTCACTACACACACATCTGTCGGCCATGCTGGTTAGGCCCCCCCCCCCCCGGCACAAGTCCTTTGTAATGTAAGAGGCCATATAGTGGAATGCCAAACTAAAACAACAGACAATTAATTACAGCCCACAAATATGGTGTTACAACACTCTCCTCCTCGATCCCTACGAAATAGACCCGCGGCTCAACTACCATATTAGGATACACTAGCTTAAATCACACACCTTACCCATCTTCTGGTTCTTCAATACTTGCACCCATAGCCGGGTGTCTTACACCCCCATTATTTTACCTGTTAGTTCTCTCATTATAATGTGTCAGCCCATAATAATTTTTTAAAATGTGCGAATTGTACCATTACAATGCCATTTACTGTGTAATGATTCCAAAGTGTGTGTGTCTACTGTTGTGGTAATACACGTATGACTGTTTATTTTTTGATCGCACGAAAATAAAGAATTTAAAAATAAATAAATAAGACTTGGGGGCGGAGCCAAGCCTTCATGCAGAACAGACGTGTTGAGACCAACTGCCAAGACTGGGTAACCCACACACACAGAGTATAAGGAAACAGTAACCAGAATGAATTAATAAAAAGAGAGAAGGTACGTATACCTGACCAGCCGGGTTAACGTGTGCCCTAGATAAGCGTCAAAAGAGTCAAAATAGAAAGCCAAGGTCAAGGATACCAGAGGTACTCAAATACGAAATAACAAGCCGAAGTCAGGGAACCAGAAAAGCCAAATACAAAGCTGGGTCAGTAACGAGAAAAGCAAACAACAACTACACAGTAAGCACTCTCGGGCAGAATAAACATCGACAGGGCAATGATCTCCAGAAAGAGAGAAGTTTAAATAGGGAGAACAAAAATCTTATTGGACAGCGTCATCAACCTGCAACAAATCACACAAAGGAGTGTGTCCTGTAAAGGGCAGATGACGTGTCCCAATAATATGGCCTGTCACTTTAATGCTATAAAAAGCCTACACCTACAGGGTCCTGTAATTTCCAAGGACTTCTGTAGGTGGCGCAAGGCTGGCAAAATGATCAGGAAGTCTTGCCAGAAGAAAGATCATGCAGGGGCTGCTACTCTGCTCCGGCCTACTGGGGACCAGACTTGGGGTGCAGCGGGGGTTATCCCGGTCCCCACTGGACAACTGTGGTCTATCCTCACTGAATCCTTAGCCATGTGCAGCAAGCTAGAGGCGCTTCTCCCACACGTAACAACCAAAATGGCAGCTGCGTTTCCACAAAACGAGGCCTTATCACGACACCACTGAAACTACCCTGCAGTGCCTAGATGTAATCTCCCAAAGATTCTGGGGGAGAATACAAGAGCGCACACAGGCAACCTGGATTGAGGAGCAGAAGCTATCGGAGGCACTACAGACAACAGGCGAAAGGCCTGAAGGGTCTTGACCCAGACGCATCGCCCACAACAGCAGAGGTCCGCATACCGCAATCGGGAAAAACTCGGCTCAGGGAGTTACCGAGTTTGTGGTCCAGAGATGCCAGTCTATACATCAGCCTGAGGCTGGAGGGATGTCCTACCTCACGCCTGCCCTGCTGCAACCTTCTGTTACCTACCTACAGGCTCCAGCTGCTTCCCAATATTGGGAATCGGATCATGTAAACTCATGCAAATATATTGTCTTATGTCTCTAGTGCCCACTCAAATGTGTTTTATTTCCTTTCGACATGTTGTCTTATATCATTTTTGTTAAAGATTACAGATTAGAGTGCTCCCTTGACAAGACTCCCAGTTGCAGTGGACAATTTTTCCTCTAACTGAGTGTGCAACCTAAGGCTGTAGCTTGTGGCATGGTAAGCTTACTTGTAACCTCACGCACAACAAATATAAAGAATTGAAAAAAATAGAAAAAAGTTTTTACAAAATTAAAGGGACACTATAGTCACCAGAACAACTTTAGCATAATGAAGCGGTTTTGGGGTATAGAACATGCCCCTGCAGCCTCACTGCTCAATCCTCTGCCATTTAGGAATTAAATCCCTTTGTTTATGAACCCTAGTCACATCTCCCTGCATGTGACTTGCACAGCCTTCCATAAACACTTCCTGTAAAGAGAGCCCTATTTAGGCTTTCTTTATTGCAAGTTCTGTTTAATTAAGATTTTCTTATCCCCTGCTATGTTAATAGCTTGCTAGACCCTGCAAGAGCCTCCTGTATGTGATTAAAGTTCAATTTAGAGATTGAGATACAATTATTTAAGGTAAATTACATGTTTGAAAGTGAAACCAGTTTTTTTTTCATGTCGGCTCTGTCAATCATAGCCAGGGGAGGTGTGGCTAGGGCTGCATAAACAGAAACAAAGTGATTTAACTCCTAAATGACAGTGAATTGAGCAGTGAAATTGCAGGGGAATGATCTATACACTAAAACTGCTTTATTTAGCTAAAGTAATTTAGGTGACTATAGTGTTCCTTTAACCCCTTAAGGATTCCCTTTTATTCCAGAAGTTTGGTCCTTAAGGGGTTAAATAACACTTAAACAAAACACAGATCCTACACTAGTACAAATAGCACTAAATCTTACAATCGGTGAGAATTCCTAGTTAATCATTTCCGATGTGTGAAATAAAGCCCAAGAGGAGTTTAGTCTCAGCTGGGCTGACATTCCGTTATACCAGAGTCCTGTCCTTTGTTCCCAAAAGGTCAGCCCGCATGACCAATTTCTGTGGCCTGGGCCCTTGACATGACGGGTGTGCATTCCCCTTTTTGATTCGAAAGCTCTTGATTGTTAGCTGTCAAGGCCTTATATTTTTATGGCCAAATCCTGGCTGCAGGCACAGCAGGGTCTGCCCTGTAAAATACATCCTGCCAGAACATACAAGGAAGCGAAAAAAAAAAAAAAAAAAATATATATGGGTTAACCTTGGCAATGCTGGGACAGAATCGTGCCCACTGTGCATGGCACTGCCCACATGGAAAATGCCTTTCAAATATGAAATACAGGCCAAAAGTAATTGTCAACTTTTTACACTGGTCTCACTGGTCTTGTTTCCTTGATGGGAGGTTAGCTACTGACCCATAAATTCTGGTAGGCTCAGTGCCAATTGCATGAGCAGCACTGGTGATAGTTTCAGCCTTCTTTTCAGACCAGAATTAACTATATAGCCACTTAGGACCCAAGGGTCCCAGAACTATCAATTTGCTTGACCCCATTAACCATATCCATGTGAAAAACAAAGGGGGCCCCAAAATGGTGACCTGTATATGGCCCCGTCCAAACTTAATCCTTCTCTGCTTAATTTTGTGCATGCCTTTGTGCAATTTTCACCTCACTGCTTAATATTGCCAATAGCAGTCCAAACGTATTCATTCAACTATAATTATTTTTCATGTAGGCAGAATCTGTGTCTCCAGCATGTTTTGATATTGGGGTTATCATGTACAGTTTAAACATTTATTATTTACAGGTTTTAATAGAGTTAAACTAAAACTTCAAATATATTTTACATTAAAAGGCATTTGAATATCTGGGTTCCCTAAGGATTTTAGATTTACATCTTCTCAGATTTTAATGGTGGTGTCACGAATTAAATTTCACAGCTGGCAGCAAATGTGAAACGTGGAAAAGCATTTCATTCACTGCTGAAGGGTAAGATTTAGTTTGGCCAAATATGAACATGTACATTGTAATCAAATTTTTAAAAAATAAAGAGAAGTACAAAGGTTATAAGCAGGGTACAAATATGGTACTATTGTCGAAACTAGGCAAGTATAAAAAAAGACGTAAGACCTGGTGACCCAGAACTGGGGAAAGGGGTAAAGGAGAAATAACAAGACAGTTGCTCCTTGCAGTTGGATGTCCACTTGTGGCCTGTCAATAAGTGCCGTAGCTGTTGGAAATCAATTGGAAAAAACCAAGCTTAAACACTGAGTCCAAACGCAAGGGTAAACCTGTAATCAACCCTAAGTAGAGAAATTAATCTCCTCCAGAAACAGTAATTCTTCTACAGTTGCAAGAAAAAGTATGTGAACTCTTTAGAATATGAATTTCTGCACAAATTGGTCATAAAATGTGATCTGATCATCATCTAAGTCACAACAATAGACAATCACAGTCTGCTTAAACTAATAACACACAAAGAATGAAATGTTGCCATGTTTTTATTGAACACACCATGTAAACATTCACAGTGCAGGTGGAAAAAGTATGTGAACCCCTAGACTAATGACATCTCCAAGAGCTAATTGGAGTGAGATGTCAGCCAACTGGAGTCCAATCAATGAGATGAGATTGGGGGTGTTGGTTACAGCTGCCCTGCCCTATAAAAAAAACACACACAGTTCTGGGTTTGCTTTTCACAAGAAGCATTGTCTGATGTGAATGATGCCTCGCACAAAAGAGCTCTCAGAAGACCTACCAGCAATATTCTTGGGATGTCTGGTGTGAATCGCTTTCTTGAGGTCATGCCACAGCATCTCAATCGGATTGAGGTCAGGACTCTGACTGGGCCACTTCAGAAGGCGTATTTTCTTCTGTTTAAACCATTCTGTTGTTGATATACTTCTATGCTTTGGGTCATTGTCCTGTTGCAACAACCATCTTCTGTTGGGCTTCAGCTGGTAGACAGATGGCCTTAAGTTCTCCTGCAAAATGTCTTGATGAACTTGGGAATTTATTTTTCCTTTGATGATAGCAA